TCATGCCCTCCACCCTTCCCTATTTACAAAGACTTTATTTCCATTTTTTCCATTTCTCATCATTTTTCCTTTCCCCTGCCCCTCCCACTACCCCTGGAAATGAATTCTAATGGAGACAATGGGAGGTTCTTTTGGCTTTGGTGTTTCTAATAATTAACCTGCCCCGGACGTGGTCCACTCTGTATCTATGAGTCACAACTAGAATGTTAAAACCTATCAGGTGTCAGTGAAGCACGAAAGCAGGTGAGAGCCCAGCACACACCTCAGTCTTCATGCTCTCTAGCTGGGCTCTCAGCCTGCTGATCTCTCTGTTCAGTCGCTCGATCAGGTGGTCCCTGGGGAGAGAAGAAGACTGCATTTGCTTCCACTGTGTGCTGTCCCTTGCCTTCTAAATGTGAGCTGGGAGACTGGGTGAGGAAGTTAAAAGCTGCTGTTCATTTGGGGATGATTCTTCAACCCTATAAATTACACAGGCAACCTGCCATATCTGCAGATTCTGTATCTGTGGATTCAACCAACTGCAGACTGGAAATATTTGGGAAAAATGTAATATAGCGTAACAACTATTTACACAGCATTGGCATCGTGTTAGATATTATAAGTCATCTAGGGATGATCTAAAGTATTTGGGAAGATGAGTGTAGGTTCTGTGCAAGTAGAATTCAATTTTATATAAGGGACTTGGGGTCATGGATCCAACTCCCCTTAGATATGGAGGGACAATTGTTTCTTTCTTTCTTTTTTTTTTGGTACCGGGGATCGAACTCTGGTCCTTGCACTTGTAAGGCAGGTGGCGGAACCACTGAGCTAAATCCCCAGCCTTTGTTTCTTAAGTGTTACCTAATCTAATACCCACAGATACGTCACAGTTACTGATCCTCTGGGATTAAAGGGGCTAATATGTGAGGGCAAGACGTTCTCTATCTAGTGTTAAGAATCCCTCTTATGGAATTCTAGTGTTATGAGGCAGATTGTGACTTGACATGTTCCTGCCAGTTTCAACCACTGGTGGTACATGCACGACTGTCCCACATGGCAGCTTATATCCAAATGGATCTTATCAGTCTTTTTCATCAGTCTTTTACTAATCAAATTAATAAAGCCACTCTATGGGATGGTCATGCACATACCACCAGTGGTTCAAGCTGCCCAGCAATGAAATATCAGAATTACAGCCTTGTTGTCAACATGCTAACTTAGTTTCTGCACCACATTGGACTCACTTTTCATCCTTGTTCACACCATTTTGACTGTTGAAATTGAAGGGATCACTGCTGAATGAGCTGCCAAAGATGTCATCAAACTTGTTATCAAATAAATTCTGCAGTGACCAGAAAGGAGGAAGAGCAAGTCAGAGACACAGAAAATTATACGTGAGGTCAGATGAGTGACATAGGAATGGTCCCTCTCTTGATATGGTGCAGACCCATTTGTGACCCCTTTGAAAACCAGAGTAGAGTTTTCAGTCTAGGTTCAGAGGTGTGCGCCTGTAGTCCCAGCTATGTGGAAGGCCGAGGCAGGAGGATCACTGGAGCCCAGTAGTTCTAGGCCAGCCTAGACAATGCAGTGAGACCCACAAAAAAGGGCTGGGGGAGGCTGACTCTGAGCAAAGTCAGTGCACCTGGGCTAGGCCTCTCCCATCCTCTTCCCTGCACTTGGGGCAATGGGAAGGGAACGTTTCTCTCCCAATGGTTCTTACCTGCTGGGAGGCGTCCATGTCCATGAGGTCATCCTTCTCCAAGACTGGCTCGCTGTCAGGGGACGAGGCCTCAGCCGGGATGACCACCACAGGGCTGATGTGTTCTGACAGGGCTGAGGCTCGTAGGAAGTTGGGTGGGTTCTGAAGGGGGGAAGACATTCTGAGCTGGTGCTCACCTGCCAGGCCCCACCAGCCTTTGAGAGAGGAGCTGGGGACCCCGCAGTGCCCAGGTGTGACTGGGCACACTCACCTCAGGCAGCTGGGGGATCTGAATGAGTCGCTTGAAGTACTGGAGGTTGCTAGAGCGGTGGAACAGATCCTTCAGCCTGTGGGTGGAGAGGGGCCTCAGGGTGCTGCATGTCTTTGGCAGCCCCAAGGAGGAGATAGCCCACCCTCAGCTTTGTCACCCCAAAGTTACAGGTGTCAAGGAGATGTTCTCCAAGGCACCGGAATTCAATTTTGATGTTACAGACAAGGGTCATTTATAGCCAATCCTGTTACCCCAGAGGTGAGGAAAGAGTAACTCATGATCCCAACACAAATGTCTCATTGCCGTGGAGTACATGCGGATGTCTGGCAGACTTGTCTTCCTATGCAAGCCTGGCTTAGAGTAACAGCAAAAGAAATGGACTTTCTCAGAGGATAAGCCACCAGAAAAGGGAAGGGAGCTTAATTACCAAGGGAGATCTCTTCTCGGGAATCCACCTGGCTTTTAAGCTATACACGATCTCCCTATTAAACCAGACATTTCTAGAAGGCAAGAACTGAGCCCTGTGAGTTTCTGTTTACCAAAGAACCAGGCGTAGAGGAGTTGCTTGTTAGGGAAGAACGACCTGTCTATACTGAGCCCTAATCTTAGATGAGTATGGCTATGAAGAAATCAACTTTTTTTTTTGGTGCTGGAGATTGGACCCAGGGCCTCGGGTATGCTAGATAAGCACTCTCCTACTGACATATGCAGAACTCCCAGCCCCAAAAACCACACGTTCTTCTCATTCCTCAATCTCTCTTCAAACCACTGAAGACCAAGAAATGTGAGTGTACCCAGAGGGGTATATTCTGAGATGAAGAGGATAATGGATCCCAACAGAAGCAACACCAACATTTCTCTAGCTCAGCAAGCCCCAGGGATCTCATTACAGCCTTTCAGATCCCAAGACCAAGACCAACACTTAGCTAGGTCCCCATGATGTCATTGCTGCTTTCTCTCAATTCAAGGACAGTTAGGCCTCAGAGAGCAGCTACTTCTGTGTAGAAGAAAGATCTAGGCAGCTACTCACAGAAGATGTTTTCATATGCTAGAAAAAACTAAAGGGAAGAAAACCAGCTGACCACACATCCCATCTCCCTGGGTGGGAGCCAACAGTAATAGGCCCTACTGCTTTTGCAAGCTACTGGAATTTCACATTCCAGGAAATCAGCCCCAGGGCCTGTCTCCTAGAATTTAGTAAGTCATTTATTATCGACTATGTACCAGGCTTCCCTAATGGAACAAGGTAGCCAGGAGGCTTGTTCACCCCTGAGTACCAACATCTATCCACAGGGCCAAGTCATGATGGCCTCCGTGGCTCTCCACTCCATCCTGCCCTCTTCTTGGGACACGTACTCTAGGGAGGAGCCACACTTCTCATCTGGTCACTCATGTCTTCCCCCAAATGTACCAGCATGATTCACTCCTCAGCCTGACAAGCTCTGTCTCTCCTAGACTACCAAGTTGGCTTGTTAGCACACTGGTTCATTCCAGCATTTATCAGCCACTGTACGCTTCACTGACCGCTGTTTGTCAGATGCTATGGACATAGTAATGGATAAAATAGTCAAACAGAACTAAAATTGTGCTAAGAACACATGAGGGAAACAAACAGGGTGCTTGTGGATGTGAGGTAGGATGGGATTGGAGGAACAGGAGAGAGTGAAAAAGAAAAAAATGTGACTTGACTGGGGCCAGGGATTTAGCTCAGTGCTGGCACACCTGCCTTGCAAGTGCAAGGTCCTGAGTTCGATCCCGGGTACCGGAAAAAAAAAAAAAAGTGATTTGACTAAGGGGGCCTGAGATTGCCTTTCTGGGGTGACAAAAGGTGACCAACAGATGGCCAGCCTGGAAGAGGACTACAGAGGAGGGAATAGAAAGCACTGGAAGGCCCTGGAAGGCAGCAATGGTAGCTGAAAGATGGAAATGTGGATGGAGCAAGATGTACTTATAGGGCATCAATCGAATCTGTGGAGGGACTGGCAGGAATCTGTGCCTTAGATCTCTGGCATAAATGGATGGCTGCAGTATTTATTGAGACAGAAAAGACTGGAAGGAAAATGGTTCACTGGGAAAACCTAGAGTTCAGTTTGGGACTTAAATCTGGCATATAGGTGTCAAAATGGGTACGTGAGACTGGAATTGGGAAGGTCTGGCTGGAGATACATACTTGGGAGCTGTCAGCATGCAAATGGTATCAGACCAGGGAACTCAGGAAGAGGACACAGAGATGAGGATGTCCTGACATGAAGCAGGTCATGTGTGACAGGTGACATCTCTCTCCTATGTCCTTCTGTGGGATTTCGTAGAGACTCAGCAACTTCCGAGCACTGGCAGGTTTACTGCTGTCCAGCCATTTTCTATCATATTATCATCTCAAAATATTGATACTGCCACCTCTCAGGGTTTCAAGGCACATGCCCTTGTGTGGATGAATTGATTTTATAGTTTTTTTGGAGAGGTGGGTACCAGGGATCGAACTCAGGACCTTGCGCTTGCAAGGCAGGTGGCGGAACCACTGAGCTGTATCACGGCCCTATAGAGTGTTTTGATCCCCCCTCAGTCCTGTCATTTGAGCCACTTACTTCGTGAACTGCTCCATGAAGCGGTCCCGGTGGCCTTGCAGGGTGTCGGCTGGGAGACCTGGGGGAAATTGGAAGGAATGTGAGAATGGGAGGAGCAGAGGGCTGGCAAGCCAAGGCCGGACTGCAGAGAGGGGCCAGCTGTCATGGGCCTGTGGTCTCTCTCCGCCAAGAGTTGCTCTGAGGTCTGGTAACCCAGGGTGCGGGCCGAGAGCTGGGGATGCTCAAGCTCCCATCATCCGGCTTCAGCATGCTGTTGGAGGAGGAGTCACTCTGGGCACAGTGGGTAGAGGTGTGTCCCTGACCACAGAAATGAGGGTGACCTAACATTACACAGGACCAACCAGTTCAGGCCCTGGGGTGGGCTGGGGGCCTCTCCCAGGTGTGACATGCACTCTAGGTTCTGGGCTTGGTCGTTAGCTAACCCTGTCACGCTGCAGAAGCACTGGCCTCCCAGGGCCAGCTCCCTGCCACATCAGTACTGAGGTCCCTTTCCTGCCTAATTCTGAGTCTGTGTATGTCAGCTACAGATCACAACTCTGCTTTTATTTATTAATTTATTTTTGCTGTACTTGGGACTGAGCTACATCCCCAGCTCCTTTTTAGTATTTTTTTTTTTTTTGGTTACTAGGGATCGAACTTGGGTCCTTGTGCTTGTGAGGCAGGCAGAAGAACCACTGAGCTAAATCCCTGGCCCTCCCCAGCGCCTTTTTACTTTTTATTTTTAGACAGGGTCTTGCAAAGCTCCTCAGGCTAGGCTCAAATTTGCAGTCCTCCTGCCTCCTCCTCCCAGAGGGGATTGTAAGGAGTGTACCACTGTGACCGGCTCTGAAATCCACACCTTTTTAAGCCTTTGGATTTTTGGATTAAAGACATTCAACCAGGGAAGTCTATGCAAACATTCTGAACTCAGAAATTCCAAAATCTGAAACCCTCTGGATCCCAAGCATTTTGGATGAGGGACATTTAACCCGTAGGACGTTCCCTACCCTCTTCCGGCTGCGCAGTTCCCCTGCCTGGAGGCCAGCAGTGTGGGTCTCATGCATTCCCCTGCTTTCAGAGAAGGCTTGTAAATCCAAATAATTATTTGCTTCTTCTCAAAACTCATCACCTTGTAGGAAACTAGTGTTGTTCTGCCGCATGGCTACATTCTGTAGTATCGTGGAAACCACCTCCCTCTTCTTGGGATCTGGCCCACCTGGTCCACTCCCTCCAGGTGCACCCACTGCTCCACAGCCTCTCGAATGGCTAAATGGCAAATCCCAAGCTCCCTGCCTTGAAACTACCCTGGATCCGTCAGTTGCTGCTCTCCTTGTCCCATCACACACCCGGGTTCATCACCCACCAGTGACCACAGCTGTGGTATCCCCTGTCCCACACTCAGGAAGCACAGCCATGTCCCTTTGGTGCCACAAGCTCTTGATTGTATCCATTCCAGTCTTGGTTTTTCCTGGTTTCCCATCACGAACATCTCCACCTGAGTATACCCTTCATGGTGGCTGCCTTGGAGTGTGGCCCAAGTGCCACCTTCGTCACTTATATGGCAATGTACATTAATGACAAAGATCCTACTAGACACTTTCTAAAGCAGTGAGTCCATCCCAGACACGTCATTGTAAACAGGAAACATATAAAACTACAGAAACCTCTAGGCGATCATTAGGGACCTGCAGAAAAACAGGGGATGGCCCTCCATTTACTTCAGCAGCCCCATATTTTTATTTCTGAATAAAATTCCGCATACAATTCCATCTGTATAAAGGGATGGTTTGGAGATTGCTGCCTTAGCTCATGTAGGTCTAGGCCAGACCTCTGCATGGCTCCTAGAACACACGATGTCCTTGAGAAAGGGTGATGAGGTAGAGCTGGAGAAGGAGAGAGGACCACCCTGGAGACACCAAAGCTTGGGTTCTGCTCTCACAATGGCCAGGAGCTCCAGGGCCTTTTCTATCAGAAGCCAAAAGCCCAGGGCCCTGAATGGGGCTGCACTGCTCCAGGGACATCTTCCCCCTGGCCCCGAGGCGCACAAAGAGGCTGCAGACTGCGTACTCACAGGAGTGGAGTTTGAAGAGAAGCTTGACAGTGTAGTCATAGAGATGGCTGCAGTCCAGGATGACCTGGATCAGTGGGGCGAGGCGGCACTGCCCGGCTGTGGTCACTGACACGGAGCGGGACATGTCCAAGGAGTTGAACACTGGGAAACAAAAGTGGGGAAAAAAGCAATAAGGTGAGGCAATTATAGGGGACTCTGCAGAGGTGGGGGCCCAGCATGAACTGGATGCACACCTCCTGGGCATGCATATCTCGCCTAAGTCATTTAACTCTGACAACCCTCCTGAGACAGGAAAGCTATCCCCACTATACAGGTGTAGAAATGGAATGAAAGTCACTTGAAGGCAGTCACAAAGCCAAGAAGTGGCCACACTGAGATAAAGACTCACCAGAGTCCACCAGTGGTTAGATCAAGCGCCCTTTGCTAACAACAGTGTGTCATGAACAGGCCGGCAAGGTTCTACTCTGGGCAGAGCCCTGTGTGAGCCCGGGGAAGAAGAGATTTGATTTCAACCTGGGAAAGCAGCCACTCCAGAAGATTCCCTTCTTCCCTGTCGCTGAGAAGCTTCCTAGTCTCCACCCTAGGATCCAACACATCGCTTAGAGTTTCCCATCTAAAGGGGAGATAGATTACCATTGAAGGACAGCCCTCAGGCAGATTTTCAGGGAGGGAAGAAGCTATGGAGCTCGGAGCACTGCTGCCTGAGCCTGGTTTAACAGAGTTCATTTTGTTATTTTGAGTCCATGCATGAACGAAGTCTGATGGTAATCCCTCATCTTTGGAAGAACCAAATCTGCCAAAAGCGGTGGTTCATATGTGGGGAGAGCACTGATCAGAGAATAAATAAATTCAGCTGTGGCTAACTGTTGGCTTGTCACTCGGTTCTTGGGACACTCAAAGTGGGGACACATGCAGGAGTGCTGGGTGACAACTGGAGAGCCCCCAAAGGCGAAGGAAAGGGGCTTGGGAGATGACCCACTGGCTCTAAGGCTGACCCAGGCTCCCTGGAGGAGCCATCAGGAGAAATGCTGCTTTTCACTCTCCTGCTGCTCCTGCAATTCCTCCACACTCAGCCCCTGCCAGAGACCTCGGACCCAGAAACTGGACGCCTGGCCACAGACTCTCCGCTCACCCCCAGCCAGGCTGATTGTCCTTCTTGCACCAGCTGCCCACTGTCCCTGCGGACTCTGTGCATGGAAGGCAATGACACTGAGGTCCGCCTGAGGGCGGAGGTGCTGGAGGGAAGCCCAGAGTCGCATATGCTCTGCCTCCCCAGCCTTTGAGAATCCCGGTAACAGGGTTAGTCTGGCAGCTGAAAAATAATCCCAAACGGTTCTAATTAAAAGGCAGCTTTTCTTCCTAAGACAAATTAAGAGCAGCTGTCACTGCAAGGCAGCCATCCGTGTCTCCTGGCTTCCTCAGGCTCCAAGCTGGCAAGGAACCACGGCCTGCTCCATCTCCTGGGCTGCTCGCTGCTTTCCCAAAGCCTTCCAGGAATGTTCCTCAGCACCCAGCACCCTCTACAGCAGGGGCCTGCAGACAAGTCACTCAGCCTCCCTGGGCCTGTGGTCACAGGAGCACATGGCTCGGAGTCTCTTCTGAGACCAATAAGAAGGTCATTGTGTGGAGTGCAGAGTCCTGTGCAGAGCTTTCTAGCCTCGAGGTTCATTAGGACCATGTGGGAACACAGAAAAACCCTTATGCCTACCTGCGACTCCTCTCACCTCCACTGTGTTTGAACTGTCTGGGTAGGATGGAGGCCTTGATAGTTTTCCAAAGGCCCCTGGTGATTCTAGAGGGCTGCAGACTGTATTCACTAGCTCAGGAGATGTCAGGCTTTAACATGCATCATATCCCCCAGATAGATTCCTGTGCGATGCAAATGTTCTTGGTATGCGCCCACCTGAAATATGGCTGGTGCAACCGATGACCTGACTTTTTCCGCCCTGGTACTGGGACTGAATTCAGGGCCTCACACATGGTAGGCAAGTGCTCTACCACTGAGGTACACCCCCAGCGCTTTTTATTTTTATTCTGAGATGAAGACTTGCTAAGTTTCCAAGGCTGCCCCTGAATTTAGAATACTCCTGCCTTAGCCTCCTGAATAGTTGGGATTATAGGCATGTGCCACTGTGCCCAGTTAAGATTTGACTTTTATGAGTTATTTCATTGCAATCAATTGAAATACAGATGTTCCTCAACTTATGATGGGGTTGTATCCCACCACATCCATCATAAATAAAATATAGTGATAAAAACATCCATTTGATACATGTAGCCTACGGGGCTCCCCAGCTCAGCCTGGCCTACCTTGTGTGTGCGGGATACTTTCATATTACTCTACTTGGGCAAAATCATCCAACGCAAAGCCTGTTTTATATAATATGTCGACTAGCTCATGTAACTCACTCAATACTGAGAACAGAAAAGTGCTGGTTGCCTGGCTATGCTTTGTACCATCTCAAAAGCTGGAAAACCCCAAGTCCACTCACTACAAGTCAGGTGGCCATCGTGGTCATGCTACATCCCCAACCTTTGTTCATGCTTTTTTTTTTTTTTTTTTTTTTTGAGATACTGGGGATTAAACCCAGGGCCTTGGCACTGAGCTACATACCTACTCTTTTTATTCTTTCACAGTATTTTGAGACAAGGTCTTGCTCAGTTTCCCACATGGGACCCAAACTTGAGATTCTCCTGTCTCAGCCTCTCAAGTGCTAGGATTAAAGCATGTGCCGCTGTGCCTAGCTTTGTTTATATACTTTTTTTAAAAAACTTTTTTTTTTTGAGACAGGGTCTTGCTATGTACTTCAGGCTAGCCTTGAACTCACTATGCAGCCCAGGGTGGCCTTGAACTTGCGGCAATCCTCCTGCCTCAGCCTCCTGATTGCTGGGACTATAGGTGTGTACCACCACTCTCGGCCTTTGATCATATATTTTTATGCAAGTACTTCCAATATATTAGAAAGAACAATGGATGCATCTATACCACTTCTCTCACCTAACCAGGAATGCCAAAGGGCTGAGCCCATTCCATACACAGACTGTATTTTATTCTTGCATAGTTATTGACCTTTTTTTGGCTACAGGGCTTCACTAGGTAGTTCAGGACTGGCCTATGTAGCCAAGGCTAGCCCTGAACTCATGGCAATCCTGCCTCAGAACTTGGGTTACAATGTTCCTCAGGGAAAGGAGTGGAGCCTGGCTGGGAGGTGAGGGGAAGAGAGACACTGCAGAGAAGGGAGGGGCCGAGGCTTGTCAGGAAGTGTTAGCAGCTAAGGGTCAGGAAGCACCTGAAGCCTCAGCAGAAGGGAGCCCGGCAGGGTGGCAGCTGCCCCTGCTAGCAGAGCAGGGCTTCATGGGTGACCCGAGGACCTGGCTGTCAACTAAGTGTCAGACATGAGCCATGCATTCTGAGCAGAAACCCGAGGAACAGCCCAGCTCTGATGACAGACAAGATGGAGGCAAAGGACCGCCTGGGCTGTGGCCACAGGTTGCAGCTGTCAGAGGTGAGAGCTATTTGTAGGATCTGAGACCAGAGCCTCAGGAGGGAGGCCAGCAGGGAGGGGCTGCAGCCCCTCCTGGCACGAGGAACGAGGCAGCAGAGACAGGTGTGCACAGCCTCACTCTTGCGGGCGCAGTGGCAGCAGGGTGAGGGCTGGGCCGGTTGGGCCAAGTGGGGAACCCCGCTGGGAACCCGGCAATGCGAGGGAAGGAAGACTCACCAGTTTGGAAGAGGTTCAGTTCACACTCCAGGTAATCAAACATCTCCACTGTTAGCTGGAAACTGGAGCCAAAAAGAGAGAACGTCAACCCCACAGGCCCAGGGCTTGTGCATGTGCTTGTGTGTGTATTGCTGGCGATCACAGCCAGGACCTTGTGCATGCTGCTCACCTGCCTTTCAGCTGCCCCGCCCTCCCCCACACCATTACTCCTGCTTCGTCCCGCACGGTACACACACAAGCACAAGTACATAGAGGCACATCCCAGCTCCAATGGTCAGCTCCCCACCTCATGGGTGTTAAGGCCACTAGAAGACCAAGCAGGTCAGAGTCCACCGTGACATGGCAAAGGTAGAGAGGATGGTACTGGTGTTGGGTTGGAGTGGACAGTGACACAGAGGGGATCCTGGGGTGCGAGATGGCCAGGCAGAGGCTCTGGATGTGGCATCTGCACTAAGTGGCCCCATGGCCATGTCACCTAGGAGCTTTTATCCCCACTCAGCCTCTGTCCCAGCCATCAGGCCCTCCCTCTATGACCCTAACAGGAAGTAACAAAACCATAAGTTTCTCCCTCACTGGGTCCAGAGCATGTAAGTCACTGCTTACAAGTTGTTAACGTCACTTTCTCCAGCCTCGTCCAGCTGTCGGTCACTCATCTGAAGGTTGCCTGGGAACCTGGGATTCTGGAAGGGAGCAGAGAAAAGAAGTCAGAACAGGGCATATGAAGAGGCTCCTTGGAGCCCAACAAAGCCAATGTCGCAAGCTGTCTTCACTGAGTATGTGCAGCAGATACACCTAAAGAATACCTGCTCTGCGCCACCCCTTCGGGCCAGGAGAGGGCTCCTCCTTGCAGTCTGCACCTGAACATTTTCTACACTCTCTCCATGGTACCACGAACCTGGAGGGGAACACTGGTCACTTGCCAGCCCTCCACTGTTCACACAGCAATGCACACCAATTCATCCTTGGTCCATTCCGCTTCCTACCCAGGCTCCCCACTGTCCTTTGCCCTTTCTTGGCGCTGCTGCTGAGTTCAAGAAAGGAACACCCATTCTCTTCTCGGCTTTTGCAAAACGTCATTAATGAAACAAATTAGAAGGCAGGGAAGATCACACAGTGCATCCCAAAAGTTGAGAGAAATAATCGTAGAGTATCTCCAAGTTCTGCAAGTGTGCTGACAGGACCAACTGGGAATGTGTGAGCAATGTAAATTCCCAGGCCTGCGGCAGACCCGCTGTATCTGAGACTCTAGGGGAGACTCTCTCTAGTGGGTTTTCATCAGCCACTGGGTGACCCTGAGCAGGTAGGAGAGTGGGAGCCTAGGGCCAGCAAGCTTGGTAGCGGTAACTCAGTGGGGAGCAGGACCGGGAGGGGAGGTGCAAGAGGCAGGGGACACTTACCGAGCACCTGCAAGGGACCCTCTTCCCTTCCTCACAGCAGTCCACAGGCCGGAAGTTATTATCATTTGGGAATTAAGGACCCTGGGACTCGGGTGAAAGTCAGGTCGGCCAGAAGCAGCAGTATGGACTTAAGTCACTCTGGGTAAAAAACCCGGGTGGCTTCTAGGTGCGGAGGGAAACAGTGGGGGCGAACTGGGTGCAAGGCCCACAGGGGCTGAGAGCTGCAGGCAAGGGGCAGAGAGTGAGGAACTCATGTGAGGACCCGACTTGGGGAGGCTGGAATTGATCTATGAATTATTTCCCTCAGGAGAGCTTAGCAAGATCCAGTGCTTCTGTATGTGTGGGCACACCGGGCAAGGTGACTTCTTTGCAGTTAATCCATGCAATTTCAGCCACAAGCTCACCCGCCTATGCCAGGCACACAAAGATATGCTGGCACTTGAAGCCTGCTCGGCCTTAAAACTTTGACCTGGAGGCTGGGAGTGTAACTCAGTGGCAGGGTGCTTGCTTAGCATGTTTGAGGTCCTGTGTTCCATCCCAGGCACTACAGACACACAAATAACCTTCAATTAGTTTGACACTTTGCCTCTGGCCCCCCCTCGTCCCCACTTTCTATCTTTTGGAAGTGGACAACTGGGGTTCCATAGTTTGGGAGTGCTCTCCTCCATCCTCCTACCAGAAAGTCCCAGCTGGCAGCTGCTCCATGGGCAGGGAAGGCCCAGGCCATAGGGAGCAGCAGGGACATGATTCTGGCTCCCACTTCCCCTTGTATCCTGTGACTGTGGCCATAATATTCCATCCTCCACCAGGAATAGTTTGCAGCCGCCTCAGGCATTTTCATGCTGCCCAATCCTGGGTGTCACACACAGGGCTCTCCAGGTGGCCAGCTTTTCCCCAACTTGTGGCTGTCCCAGGATTTCAGGGAAGCCTCCGGCCTCACCTCTCCCCTGTGGAGGGCTGTGGAATTTTGCAGGGGTGGGTGTTCATCCTCCACCACCCTGCCTACCAAGGCTAGGGGCGTGCTTGGCATTCTTCTCGGGTCCCCATGCTTCTCCACCCCACAAACATGGCTCACTTTCTCGTCACTACCCCACATTCACCCAAGTCCTTGGCATCCAGGCCACAGGCTTCCTTTGTGGCTCTCTGTGGTCACAACCTTTCCTCTACAATTTCAGGACCTTTGGCTACTGACACCCACTTGGGACCCTGCTATCACTTGGACCTGTCCCTCTGGAGACCTCTTCACCATAGTCCCTCATTCTGCTGCCGCAACATCTGGGCCTCATCCTCCAGTCTCTCCTCCCAGCTTCCTCAGCCCCTTCTGGTCACTTTCTTGTTCCATCAAGACATCAGGACTGGTGGCCTGGAAGCTGCCACCTTTCTGTCACACTGCCACTAACCCCTGCTGGGCCTGGATGCTCATCACACACTCTGCACCTAGGACCAGCTAACGAATGTCCCTGCAGAAGGCCTCACAGCCAGTGTCACTATTCGTTCATGCTAGCTGGCCTTAGCATCCATCTCTGTCAGTTTGGGCTGAATACAGGCATTGATTTCTCACAGCTCTGGAGGCCCAAGGTCAAGGCACTGGCACATCTGGTTCCTGGTGAGGGCCACATTCTGGTTTGTCCCTCATGAATGGAGAGATGCTCTACCCTCATGTCCTATGACCTCACAGCCCCTAACCTCACCGTACTGGGGGTTGGAATTTCAACGCTCAGTCTGTAACAGTGCCCTCTAACAGTCCTTGCCACAGATCCCTCGCCTGTCCCCCTGGCCATTGTAATAGCTCCACTATCACACCAGTGTCTCATCCTGAACTGCCGCCTTCAGCATGAGGCCTCAGCCCCTGCTGCCCACTCCCTTCCCAGATTCCAGTGCCTCCCCTTCCCTCCCTTTCCCCGCTGTCAAAGGAGAAGGGCCAGCCTCTTTCCCTGCCCTTCGCTGTGCCTCCACCCCGTCACTCACTCAGCTAATCTGGACTGGGCACCTGCTTGTGGCTGGAAGCTGGGCAGACAGAGGACACAAGGGGGCAGGACACCTGTGCTGTCCTCTCAGAACTCCAGGTTGGGAGGCCCCCTGGTTCTGCTCTTCTCCATCTTCAACCTCTGCTCCTGTGTTCTCCCCACTCAGGCCTGCCAGGATTCCTTACCAGCAGCAACCAGAACCATAGGGCTGTGTTGCGGTGCAAAGCACCATGCAGCACAGACAGCCAGTGCCCTCCAAGCCTGAGCTTAGCTGTTGTTGTCTCTGACAACCCTGGCCCAGGCCCAGGCCAGACAGGCCCCGCCTGATTCGGTGCCACCTCCCACTACTGCTTGCTCACCCTCGCTCCCTCTCCCAGGCCAACAGGAAGACTTTATAGGCTGGGGCAAGGCCTCTCTCCAGGCCCTCCTAGTTCAGGCCCATGGTGGCCACTCAATGATATATAGAGGGTGGGGAGGAACAGCCATGGGGCATAGGACGTCTGTGGTGTCCAACAGGTTCTAATCTCTGCTTCCCCACTGAGCAGCCACATGATGGGGCTGGGGCATTTTCCTAGGTCTGATATCTCCGCCACACAGATGCTGAGGATAAGATGATATCCAGACACGTTTGACAGAGGACAACAATGTTGACAAGTCAAAGCTACTCTTCAAATTCATCAGAGACAGCAGAGATAAAGACACATGGGGTTTCTTCTATCTCGTCCCTTCTCCATTTCCTCCCTGACTCACACTGCTTTCTTCCCTACATGGCAGCCCTCTGCTCCACCGAACTGCACCTGGCCCAAGGTCACAGAGACTGGCCCTTCCTGATCCCGTGGCCTCGAGCTGTTACAGGTCACTTCGAGTGTGAGCTCCCTCTCCCCACAGCCCTGTGAAGCCCTCGGAGCAGACCCTGGCCCTGTAGCTTACGCAACCTCTGGTGCCTGGCACAATTCACCTGCATTAAGGGTTGGAGAAATACTGACCAAGTCAGATATTGATTAAAAGCAGGTGTGCCGTGGAAACTCACTAGCGAAGTTGCAGGAACTGTTTGGAGCAGCAGAGGAGGAGGCCATGGGTGACATTTCCCCAACCTGGTGGATGTGGGTCCTCCATTGGAAAAGGGGAACGGAAGGTGCAGAAGTCAAAGCCTGTCCCCCTGTTGTCCCTGGGGCCTGACTTCAACTGCCCCATTGCCTCCCCTGAGGGCAGGAACTCACTTTGGTGTGGTACTCCATCTTCGTCCTCAGCAGTTTGAGGTAGATACTGCAGAGCTGCCCGTAGCCCTCGCTCAGGTGGCCCTTTCAGAGAGGAAAGAAAGTGGAATCACCATAGAGGACACTTGTGAGGGATCTGCAGTCAGGGCTTCTGGTGGAAGGAACTATCTTTTGTGGTGAAAATAACATCCAGGTGTGGCAGTGCACGCCTGTCATCCCAGCACTCTGGGAGGCTGAGGAAGGAGGCTCTCAAGTTTGAGCCCAGGCTGAGCAACTTAGTGAGACTTTGTCTCAGAATAAAAAATTTAAAATTTAAAAATAGGCGTGGGGATGTGAAAGCCCTGGGTTCAATCCTCCATGCCAGAGGGGGGAAAAAAAGAAGAAGAAAAAGACAAATGTTAGAGGCTGAAAATTTGGAAAATATAGAAAAGCACATATACAAACATATTACCCTATTATTATACCACTAAATATCTAACACTGGGTATAAACTTCCCTTTTACTTTTTCAATTTTTCAATTTGAAGAGCAGTCTTAGGTTCACAGCAGAACTGAGTAGGCTGCATTGAGTTCCTTACACTGCGTGGTCCCAACACAAAGAGCCTCCTCCACTATGTTCGGTCCCCACCAGAGTTACACTTGTTACCGTGACGCATCTGCAGTGACAAGTCACTGTCACCCCAAATTCACGTTCACCTCAGGCTTCACTCTCCGTGCTGTACATGCCACAGGGTTTTGTTTTGTTTTTTTGGGGGGTACCAGGGATCGAACTCTGGTCCTTCCACTTGCGAGGCAGGCAGCAGAACCACTGAGCTAAATCCCCGGCCCCCATGCCACAGGTTTTGACAAAACATATGACATAGGCCTGCCTACCACTATAGTATCACATATGATGATCTCAGTGCCCCAAACCCTTAGGGTGCCACCTTTATTCTTATATTTAAAATTTTTCACCTAATGTACTACAATCTTTTTTTCTATTTTTCTTCTAGATTACGTTTTTCCTTTGAGATAGGGTCTCCCCATGTTTCCCAGGCAGGTCTCAAATTTGTGGGTTCAGCTGGGCATGGTGGCTCATGCCTGTAATCCCAGAACTCAAGAGGCTGAGGCAGGAGGATCACCATGAGTTGGAGGCCAGGCTGAGATACATAGTGAGACCCTGTCTCAAAAAACAAAACACAACAAAACAATAACCACAAAAAACAAACCAAAGTAATCAAATTTGTGGGTTCAAGCAATCCTCTTGCATCATTCCCGAGAAGCGGGGAGTATGGGCATGCATCATCATGCCTGGTTCTGTATATCATCATGTTTAGTGGCTGCCCAATCCCTCTTAAGTATGTATCATAGTTTATTGAACCGATTCAATACCTTCAAAGTAGGTAAAACCAATTCAAATGAGTTGAAAATTTTGCTGTTACAAATTATGTTTCAATTTTAAATTTTTATTATAGTTATTAACTATAATAATTGTGGAATTCATTGCGATATTTTCATCCATGCATACTTTGTGCACTGATCATGTCCATCCAACACAATGCATTTTTTTTATAGTTCGATGCTTTTCTTCTTGAGCCCGGGTCTTGCTATGTTACCCAGGCTGGCCTTGAGCTCCGGGGCTCACGCAGTCCTCCTGCTGTAGCCTCCCGAGTGCTGGGCCTACAGGAGCACCACTGTGCCCAGCTTGCCATACAATCCTGCATACAACATGAGGACTTTCTTATGGTAAATTCTGGACTATGGACAAGACTTTTTATTTAAGAATTTTAGTCTCCAATCTGATCACTCAGTCCAGCTATGGGCTATTTCTTCCCCCTTGGCCTCTCTAAGCACAGTGAAAGAAATCTTTTGCCGGACCTCAGGGACAAAGAGCATCCTTAACAGTCTCCATGGGGTGGAGTTGGAAACAGAGCCTCCCTGAGCCTTCCCATGGGGTCTGCCCAGGCAGCCAGGGCCCCACCTGGCCAGGTGCCTGGGGGGCGGGGGTGGTCAAACTAGCAGAGTGATGCTGGAAACTCCCAGTCATCTACAAAAAAGAAGGGACATGGGAATGCACAGACCTCTAAATCTGAATGGCTGTGGTTCCCATATGAATTCTGCCTTCTACATTCTCTTAAATGCACCAGGTCCTCTAGGGTAGACTAAAGGACCTGCACTGCAGTGCTCCGGAAAGGGCGCCAAGGGAGGTGAGTGACGGGGAAGGTGAAACATCAATACCACAGCTGCCAGTGCTTTCAGGACATATTAATTTTCTAGGAATAATTCATATTTTATTAATTTTTATGTAATACTTATTTATTCCAGAAAAACTGAAATTGCTGGAAAGTGAAAATATAAGACAATTATAACATGAAAATGCACAAGAACAAAGGGGTATGGTGGCACATGCCTGCAATCCCAGCACTCTGGGAAGTTGAGGCAGGAGGGTTGCAAGTTTGAGGCCAGCCTGTCTCAAAAAATTTGGTGAGACCCTGTCTCAAAAAAATTAAAAAAGAGCTGGAGATGTAGCTCAGTATGAAGGCCCTGGATTCAGTTCCCAGTACCAAAACAAAAACAAAAAAGGGCTCTGATTTTCAGAAACTCTTAATCCAAGGTGAGAGACAGAAATTGTTGTGGCTGTTTATATCTAGATGTTCCCCAAGAGTCCCAGGCACTCGTAGGAATGGGTTTTTGAAAGGTGAAGGGGGTGTGAAGCTAAATGTGACATTAGGAGGAGAGGTTTGATCAGAAGAGCTGGGTCACTGGTGGGTGACCTGGAAGGGTTTATCTCCCCCTTCCTGGTCCCTCTTAGCTTTCTGCTTCCAGGCTGCCATGGCATAAGCAGCCTTGCCTCTGCTATGGCTCTCTGCCATGCCTTGCTTCCTTGGAACCAGCTGACTATCAACTGAAACCTCTAAAAAAGGTGAACAAAAATAAACCTCTCCTCCTTTAAGTTGTGGGTATTTGATATTGTGTCAGAAGGGAGAGAAAGTAACTAAGACAGAACTGCATAGGAAGAAAGGTGTAAAGGATCCTAGCCTGAACAAGGCAGGCTGGGAACCTGGGTTGACTTTTCTCCTGAGAACTACTAAAAAATAATAGGTTTTCTAGACCTCAAGGGCCAGATGGTGAACAGGAAGCAAGGCTCTGGCCAGCCCAGGTGGAGGAATTGAGTGAAAGGGTCAGGAGACTGCTCCTGGGTGCAAAGGAAGTGCACTCACACGCACACATGCACACCCTGGCACTCCTGCATGGAGGAATTCCTCCCTGAGGACCGTAGAGAAAATCTATGCCCTCAGACTATTCTAATGATCAGAGGGAAGGAAAATACACTCCTGAGAATTGGACCTATGAGCCAGGCCTCAAGAGGATCTTCCCAAAATTCATAAAACCTCCAGCTGAAAATTTAGAGTGATTTTAATGGAAGCAAATACCAAGTCTCTCTGGAGGAACCTGCCTTTGTTACAGACTTCAAAGAATTTCCACAAGTAAAATCCCAAGGAAAATGAGTAGCTCACAATAAAAAATAACTAAGCACAAAAGGAAAATACAAAGCATGGGCAAAATTCTGCCAGATGGCAGAAACAGATCTCTAAGGACTTCCAATAACAGAATTATAAAAAGTGATATATGAAATAACTAAGCTTATTATATCTAAAGAAATAGGGGATTGTTTCAAAGTATTTGTAGGGCATAAAAAATATAATCAAAGCCGAGTACAGTGGCTCATGCCTGTAATCCCAGCATTCAGGAGGCTGAGGCAGGAGAATTGCTGCAAGTTTGAGGCTAGCCTGGGCTACAAAGTGAATTCAAGCCCAGTCTGAACTACATAGTCAGGTTCTGTCTCAAAAAAACAAACAAAAAAACAACCAAAAAGGAAAACAATACCAAGCAAATTAAGAAAAAAGTATTGAAAGCAATGAAAACCACAGTGAAATTGAAAACTTTATGAAGAAGTTTAACAACAGATTAGCCCCACTTGAAGAAGGAATCAGTGAGTTGATGAAATTATCCAGATTGCAACAGAGACCAATTGGTAGAAAAAGCATTATAGCCATTTTACATGGTAAGAATCACTGACAAAGCTCTAACCAAGATCTCAGAAGGGAAAGAGACTTGTGTTAAGGTGGTATTTGAAGTGAAAATCAGAATTGTTCATAACTGATACAAGATACTAAGAAGGGTTAGCTGGGCATAGTGCTGAACACCTGTAATCCTAATCCCAGGACTAGGGGAGGCTATGACAGGAGCATCACAAATTTGAGCCTAGCTTGGGCTACTTAGCCAGACCCTATCTCAAAACAAATTTTAAAGCACTGAGGATGTAGCTCAGTGTGAAAACTTTGAGTTCAACCCTCAGTACTGCAAGAAAAAAAAAAAAAACAGCCAGAGAAAAATCACAGGTTAGCTTCAAAGGCACCATGGTTGAGTGTCACAGCTGACTTCCAAGAAAACAATGGAAGCCAGAAGTCAGTGGAAGGATGACTTGAATAATATTATTCATGCACTGAGAAAATAACTGTTGGCCTAGAATTCCAAAGCAGAGAAGATATCTTTCATGAATGAGGCTGAAACAAAGACATTCTCACACAAGCAAAATTGTGTCTGTCAATAGCAGACTCTCAGTATAGAAAGTTCTAACAGAATTAATCCAGGCAGAAAGTGAGCCCAGGTGAAAGGTCTCAAAAGGGTACAAAATAAAACAATACTTTCAGTTTAAACAGAAACATATGACAATAATAACATACAAATTGAGGGAGTGAATGTTATTAAAATATTAAGGTCTTTGTGTTCTACAGAAAACAGATAAAGATATGAAATTTAGACTCTGATAAAGCAAGCAAGCATTTTGTAGCTATTAAAGAATATGCTGACAATTTAAAAAATTAGATTTAAAAAAATCTCCCAACAAGTAATGAAGAGAAAAACACGGTAAAAAAAAAACAACTCAATCAATCCAAAAGAAGGCAAAGAATGAGAGAAGTAGAATAAAAACATATGAGACAAACAGAAAAGCACAAGACAGTATGGGAGACGTGGGGGCTGAGGGTGTAACTTAGTGGTAGAGACCTGGGGTTCAATTCCCAGCACCAAAATACCCCAAACCAAACCAAACCAAAAAACCAGTGGGAGATATAAACCTAAATATATCCTTTATTATAATAAACGTAAGTGGACCAAATGCTCAGTTAAAAGACAAAGATTGCCATCTTGAATAAAACACACGGGTAACATAGCAAGATCTCATCTCAAAAACCAAACCAAAACAAAAACCCAACTGCAGGAAATGCTATTTATAAAACATTCCTGAAAGATGAGAATATTGGGAAGTTGAAAGTAAAAGAATGGCCTGGCATGGTGGTGCATGCCTATAACCCCAGTACTGGGGAAGCTGAGGCAGGGGAATTGCTGCTGTGAGTTCAAGGTCAGCCTGAGATACATAGCAAGGCTTTATCTCAAAAAACCAAACACCAAAACCAAAACAAAACAAAAAAAAACCCCCAAAAGGGAAAAGAATGGAAAAACCTTTACAGGTCATAGGGAAGAGGTGGGGCAAGTCTCACCTCTGTTCAGGCAACATACCTTGTGACTTCAGGATAAAACACTTCCCCCTCTGGACGCTCTGTTCTCACCAATGACCAGAGTGGACTATGTAACTCGTGAGTTCCAGATACAATAAGACTGAATGGAAAGGCTCAAGTAGTGGCTCTTAGCCAGTGAGTGGAAAACTGCCTCTCCACAAGGAACAGGGAGGTTTTTCACAGTGTGGACCATCCCTGCCCCATATATGTGCCCTTGGCCTTCAGAATCTACAGGGACCTAGGAGTGTGTAGAACACTCCTTTTGAGAGATTTTAATATTGCCTTCCCCTTCAGCCTAAGGCACTGAAAAACCCAGCTAGGAAAAAAAAGGGATTAACATTAAGAATTAAACATGCTAATTCTAAAGTCCTGTGACCCCTAAGGAAAGACTCTGGCAATGTCCCTGCTAAGCCAGGAGAGCTTTAAAACATGTGGTTCCATTGGCAGGAGAGGCTTGAGGCTCCGGAACTTTTCTGCAGCTTCCAGGCAACCAAGCGAGACAGCGGACATGGTGATACTATCTGGTGGCATCCTGAGCCCCTTCCTGATGCACGTGGGAGAAATTCTAAACAAGTTGCCAGAGAGGAATTTGTTCCACTCCACAGTCTTTGTTCTGTGGCCCCTGGACACATCTCCAAACTCACCCACATCCTGCTCATGTCACTCAGTTCATTTTTGTATCTCAGGGAGTCCTTCAGAACCTGGGGGGCAAAGAGGAGAGCGGTCAGAAAACAGAAGGGACAGCCAGCGGTGCACCTACCTCTCTGGTGGCCCAGAGGCCGGGAGAAGGGGGCTGTGTGGCAGTGGACAGCAGCCTCGTGACTGCAACAGTCACTTTCCCCACATGCTTTTCTGGCTCCCAGGCCCGCCTGTACCCCCAGGAACTCACGTTTGGGTGTCCGTCTCGGAGGAGCTTGTGGAACACATGGCAGAACTTCCAGCAGAGCATGGCGTTGCTGGAGAGGGGCAGCCGGTTGACAACAGACCAGAAGGTTTGAGCCCCTTTCTCATGGTGGGTACCCAGGATGCACGGTGAGGGGAGTCATGGAAAACAAAGGTGTGGGCCCTTCCACAGACAGCCAACACCTAGGATTGAGCAGCAGCCGGCCACCGAAGAGGGTGTGGCGGCTGCTCAGGTCACATGGCGCTACTTTCAGGGGATGGGGGCACTTGGGACATGGCTTGTTATGAAGGCCCAGTTGGGTGTTCATTCTGACAATTTTTGAGCCGATGGACATAAAATGCCCTTTTCTGGTAAGATCTGTCCTGTGAGAAAATTTCCTCAGGAGCCGAAGCATCTTGAGAGTGTCTCTCTTCCTAATGTTACATGTTTCCAGAGGGCCAGGAGCCCTCCTGGCTTGCCCTCCCCTGGGTGTGCCGAGTGAGTGGTGGGACCCTTAGGGAATAAACACAGCTAACATTTTAACAAGTGACACCTTCTCAGAATTCTTTCTTAGAGATTATTAAGTGAAGGTGTGGGCTGGGGCTGTAGCTCAGTGGTAGAGTCCTTGCCTAGCATGCATGAAGCCCTAGGTTCGATCCTAGTACTGCAAAAAAGAATGAATGAATATAAGCGAGAGTGTGCTGTGGTGCTCCATCCCATACCCAGGCTGGTTCGGGGGAATCCTCCACCCTGATCAGCTGCTTCTCGGGGGTCTTCTTGGCAGCACCTCCAAATCCTCACCAGTCGGCCAGCCCTACTTGTCCCTTCGAAAGTCGTCTAAAACGCCCTTCCTGCAGTCTCCACATGCCTGTGGCTCCCACCTCTTCCATCAACCATCCTGGCCTCCTTCTGGGACACCTCTGACTCCCTGCACATGGGATCCTGGGGCTGCTCCTTCCCAGGCCCAGCTCCAAATGCAGCCACCACCTGCAGACCGCCTGCTGCAGTCAGCATGTAACAAATGTCCATCTGGCTTTGTGTGGTTTCTGGGTTAGCATTCAGATCTCGGTCATTAGCGAGCCATTTCTGGGGAAAAGGTTTCCACATGCCTTTGCTTAACGAGGCTGTGAGGCCCCCTTACCAAGCACCATCAGCTCTGAGCGAGCCCTTTCCTCAGACTCAAAGCCTCTTCATCCAGGCACAGGTGAGGAGCCTAGCACCATTTAGGGAAAATGACTTGCCTGGGGCCGGACAGCAATGACTCATCTGGAACACATGTCTTGCTCCTGAGCTGAGGGTGCCGTAAAGCTCCTTTCCTGGATGAAACTGTCATTCTGAGGGGGAGGCTGTGAACACAAGACTTTTGGGTTCAGAAGCTGAGATCAGCTTTGGTGTTGGAGTGACTTCTCAAGTCATTTAGGCATACACACTTCGGGTCTGCTTTCAGACGAGACAGAAGCAGGGAGGGGAGGTGACAGCTGCCTACTCTGGCTCCTCACTGTACCCAAGGGCCTGTCTACACAAAAGCCACTAAGGTCTGGACTCTAAAAGAAGCCAGGAGACCTGTCTGGCTTTCTTTGGTTTTATAAGCCTTTATGTGATCCCCAATTATTTGTTAGGTCCTGTAACAGGTGCTCAGGGAGAAAAATAATAAAGTAAGACCCAGTCTCTGGCCCTTCAGGAGTAGACCAACCTGTTCCCAGGCAGGCCTCTGTGATAAATGACTGAACAGCATTTCTGAAGTCAGATCACTAATGCTTATTCAGTTGGGATCTAGAAGAGCTGATAAAAGAACTGATAAAGGATGTTTTTCAGCTTTTTAACTAGACATTTTATACCCATATTATAGGGAGTTGATGTTTTCAACATCTATCCACCATGCAGAAATGGTCAATCTGACAGATTCACAGAATAGCAGAGCCAGAATGCTCACTCTGTAATATCTTTGGACAACTCTTTAATGGAAATGTGAACGGAGGATCCCAGGCACTAAATAAGGTCTCAGAGTGAACCAGGGAGCCCCGAACTGGTTCTGGAATCTCCCAGTGTCACTGCCCCATCCCAGGTACCCTCTAAGGCCTGGCCTCTCTGAACCCACCGATCCCCACCCTGGAGGTCCTCAGCATCCTACGACTCCCTCCACCAGTAGGGGTCAGGACTGATTTCTTGAGAAAAACCAACTGGGCCACTTAAAATAAGGGTTCTTGTTTGTTGGTTTACTGTATTTTTAATCCTGGCGAGGGAACTGAGTGTGCTATAGTACAGGGGAGTGACTGGGCCTTTTGAGCCCAAAGAAAAACTAAAACCTCTATCTTACTTGCTTCTAGTTACTTGCTTTCACTGCTGATCTCAGAAGTTGCTTAGCTAAAGAATAATGTATTTCTGGGCTAGAAGGGTAGCTCAATGGTCAGGCACTTGCACTTGCCAGTAATGTATTTCACTCACGGTACTTTTGCTAACACCTCTATAGTCAAGTTAATGGTGCTTTTTGTTTTGTTTTGGTACTGGGGATTAAACCCAGGGCTTTCACACTAAGCCACATTCTCAGACCGTTTAAAAGTTGTTTTTTTAAATTTTAAAACAAGATCTCACTAAATTGCTAAGTTGCCCAGGTTGGGCTCAAACTTGTGATCCTCCTGCCTCAGCCTCCCAGAGTGCTGAGATTACACCACATCTGGCTTGGTTAAATCTAAGGATGTAGCCTTGTCTAGCTCAAATCAGCTGAAGCCACCAAGCCCTTCACTCAGAGGGCCAACACTCTACTCGAAGAGCATGCTCAGAACATGCCTCCTATCAGGAGCCACGGGTTTGATTACCTACACTCAGATTACCGATGACCTTACTTTGCTTCTTCTAATCACTGGTCCTCGTGCTTCAGACCACCCTGCTTCTTCTTCTTCTTTTTTTTTTTCTACTGGAGATCAAACTCAGGTCCTTGTGCTTGCAAAACAGGCGGTGGAACCACTGAGGTAAATCCCCAGCCCAACCCTGCTTTATCCTATAAATACCTTTAAACTCCATCCCCAGGGAGACAATCGGAGACCCACTCTTGGGTCTGTCTCCACAGCCATTGCCACCTCATGAATGAGGTTTTCCAGAAAAGTTCCCTTTCCAACGACTGGCATACGGTGGCGTAGTGAGCAAAATAAGCCTGGCTCAGCAACACTTCCTGAGGAGAAGCGAACTAGGCGCTAGCTGGCCTCATAGTTGGGTTGGGCTTCTGGGTTACTGCAGCGGGATTCCATACCCCTCACTTCACAGCAAAGTCCTAATTCCAACCCACAAGAGGTGCAGCACTGGCCATCTCTGACCGTCTCACCTGGCGGGTCCCCGCCAAGGGTCCAAGGCTGGGTGGCTCTGGGACGGACGAGTGGCTGTGATCTAAGTGCTGGGGCAAAGTGACCCACAGGAGCTCAGACAAGCAGGGCCCTGCAGTCCACCCCCACTGGGGCTTCAATCCATCAGCCTTCAGGGATCCAGCTCCTCAGAGCCCATAGAGTCACAGGGCACATCCCAGGGGACCCATTAGCCAGGTGTGCCTGTTGCTTTTACACAGCCACAGCCTCACGATGGCCGACGCGGTGTGGTGGGAGCACTCTTAAAGGAAAGCAGCTTTCAGGAACGTGGAGGCTCTGCCAAGCTTCCGTCCTAAGGGAGAGCAGCAGGGTCTTTGGCAAGTTAAAAGGGCTGGGCTTGATGGCCTTGTGGGTCCTTTCCACCCTGGTGCCCGTGCACTCTGAAGCCAGTGCTCCTGGAGAGTCTGCTGCTGCCACCGGAAACTGCTTCAGCCTGCAGGCACCTGGCCAGTATGGGGGTCCCCTCCTGCTGCTATGCAAGAGCTTCTCCCCGACTCCAGTCCCCACGACTTGACCCTCAGCAGGGCCAGCCTTCCCCAACATCCAAAAGGATATTTCTGGCGTGTTTTTCCTTTACGGCCACTTCCTGCGTATTAATGGCCTTATTGATGCTGACAGTCTGCAAAACAAGAGGGGGAGGGGAAAGGAGGATACGATGAATAAGCCTGTGAGAGGGGCTGAGACCCTGCGGCGGCCCGCCCCTTCCTCCTCCGGTGCTCCTCTCCCCTGCTGACCCCCTGTGCCAAGGGAGGCTGGTTCCTCTGCAGACGCCCAGCTGGGGGCAGAGATGGGCAGTGCTCCCAGGCCAGCTGGTCCCAGCAGTCCTGGATGAAGCGGGCTTTGCTGCCTGGCATTGGCTGTGCCCAGCTGCTGCGCCTGCCTGCCACTCATTCGCTTGGCACAACAACGGCAATTAAAGCCTGCACAAAGAGAGGCTTTTCATCCCCCAGGGAAACATTATTCCTTGCGGAGCAGGAGGAAGGGGTGCTGCTGTCAGGGAGCGAATGTGGCCCGAAACCATCCAGCTGCCCCCGTCACCTCTAAACTGCCCAGGAGCCTTTCCTGGCTGGCTACTCCAGTGTCTTGCTTTCTCATGCTTGGGCATTTTTCGACTCCTAGATGAATTTCCTTTTCCTTCTTTCATTACATCAAAGGACATTAAAAATACGTCTTTCCGGTTGTTTTTATACTTACAATTCTTTCAAAATTATTTATTTGCTTATTCATTTATTTTTGTGGTCCTGGGGATTGAATCAAGGTGTGCTGAGCTATATCCCCAGCCCTTTTTATTTTTTGAGACAAAGTCTTACTGAATTGCCCAGGTGAGACTCAAATCCTCCTGCCTCAGCCTCCTGAATGGCTGGGATTATAGGCACTTCAGGTGTGTACCACTGTGACCAGCTATAATTCTCTTAAATTTAACAGCACACATGTATGAATAAAATTTATACAAACACATAAATGGGATCATATCATGTAGGTGGTGTCTTCCTTCCTTTCTTTCTTTTTTTTTTTTGGTACCAGGGATTGAACTCAGGACCTTGCACTTGTGAGGCAGGCCCTGGGCCACTAAGCTGGACCATTTCTTAAGTAGTGGAAATTTTTCCTTTCTAAAACTTTGCTTGATTTCTTTCTGGAGACATCAATCACCCCAAACCCACATCAACAACCTGTTAGGGTTCCTACACACACGCGTACACATGCACAACGCACACACACACATACCCCTACAGCCTGAAGCGGTGAATTCTGACATCATTCTATGAACATGGCGTTAACACGTACAGCCTTTTCTGTCTTGCATTTCTCACTGGAAAATATCTCATCAACATTCTTCAAGTAGACGCCAAACCTCTAGCTCATCCTTTAAAGGGACAATATACTGCTCCCCAGTGTGGGTGGGGATGATTTATGCTCACCTTCCTGTACTGCTAAATAATCAACTATTTCCCATCCCCCACTGTAACCTAGTTAATAAACACACACACACACACCCTTATTAATGGATGCTTTTGTTTCCAAGGGGTAGATTCCTGGAAGTGAGATGACTCCTAGGGTCAAAGTGTTTTCTTAACCTTTCATTATGGAAAAGTCCAATCACATACAAACAGGAAGAGTAGTCTTCTAAGCCCTAGCATCAACCATTATGTTTTTTTTGTCTTTTTCTTTTGTACATCAACCATTATGAACTTGTTTGCTATGGACCAGGACCAGCCTTTTTCTTTTTTTCTGTAAACAGCAAATATTAGTAAATATCTGAGGCTTTGCGGCCCGCATGGTCTTCATCACAGTTATTCAGCTGTGTTACTGAAGACTAAACAAATACACAAACAGCAAGTGAGGCTGTGTCCCAGTAAACCCAGGTGGTGGCTGTGCGGCTGCAGCGCACTCTATTCCATCAGCCGAAGAAGCCCTAGTTCCTCGGAGTACTCTGAAGTAGAGAAATCCTGGACACAGACTGAGTTTACCACTAAGTCACTACTCCAGGTGACTGAGAAAGCCTTCTAGGGTCATGCCGAATTAGGTGATTTCTATGTCCCTTCCTACTTTTAGATTATTTTAAAGGTCCTGGACACGTCAGGGGAAGGAGTCGTGATGTGAAAGATACTGGGGGTCCACAGAAGGCTCTTGAGCAGGGAAGAACCAGACAGAAGTTCAACCTCCTGAGTGAGGAGTTACTTCTTCAGGGCCCTAAGGGAAGCGTGGGACACATCAGTGTGGGCATCAGAGCCACCAAGTACGAGTCCAAGTGACAAGGGCCTGGTCCAGCACCAGACAGAAGCTGCTTCCTAAAGCAGCAGCTGTGGGGCATCTGTCAGTCCCTCTGGCCTCGCTGGGGCAGCCCGGAGCCTTCTGTGGCTGGGCAGCTCCTGGAAGCCTCTTACTGTAGCTGACACGCCCACTGTCACTCCAGCCACGCTTCACCTCTGTGGACATGGCTGCGGCACAGGCTGTCCCATGGGTGGAGGCCACGGCCTGGCTTTCGTGACAAAGGTGGGGCTCAGAGACACAAGGCAGGGCTGAGCATGAATCTCAGCATGCTGGGGTCTTAAGCAAGCCGCAGGTTCCCCAAGGCCCTAGGAAATGTCACCTACCTCCAGGTTTCCAGGGCAAAAGTCTCCTGCTAGGACCAGGTTCCTGAATGCCTTGTGCCTGGGATCCTACCACTATGTCCCATCCTGTGTTATACACATCTATCTACCCATTTTCAGAGCACAGGCCACATTTCACCTTCTTTTGGACTTACTAAGCTTCCTAGGCCAACCATTTGTTTTTCTTTCTTCCTTTTATTAATTTTGAATTTCTGTCTTTTAATGTGTTTGATACTTATACAATGCCTTCCCTTTCCTCCAAGATTAAGTCCAGAGGGTGGGGATCCTGCTTCTCTCTTCCCATGGCCCCACAGCTTGGTAAGGCTCCAGGTTTTGCTGTTCCTAAGTCCCCCTAAGAGTCCCAATGTGATCCCTAGCCACTCAGAGACTCTGCTCCCTGTCCCTGAAGTCCCAGACTCTGGAGGAAATCACTGGGTCTGAATTTGTCCCAGCCCTTCTCTAGGCCAATGCCAGGGGGAGTGGTGCCCCCAGGGCAGAGGGTAGGCAGCCCAGGGTGCAGCAGCTCACCTCCGGAGGGGGGTCTAGGTTAGAGAACATCCTCTGAGAACAGGCTGTTCTCCAGCTTTCCCTGGAGTCACATGGGACCTGAGTCCAGTGCAGTCGCCCTGAAAGAGCAGCATTGTGTACCACTTCCTGCCCCAGCTGGCCCCTGTGCCCCAAGCCGCTCCCAAGAGAGCCAATTAGCAGCAGGCACCTTGGGAAGGGCGGCTTTCTCCCAGCCCTTCCTCCTCTCTCCCCATCCCCCCAGCCTCGCTCCCTGCGGACAGCCCAGTCAGGCTGTGACCAATGGCTGCCCTTTTGGGATTTGCTTCTGGGCGGAGCAGGTCCTAGGCTGGCCTGTGGGGCCAGCTGGGCACTGCCCACTTACAAATACAGCTTCTGGCAGGGCCCCAGCCCCTGGGATGACAAGGCCAGGCTGGCTTAAAAGGTTCCATGCAGGGGCGGGCAGAGAGGATGTGCTCTGCGTGAGGGTGGCCGCCCTGAGGTGAGGGACCACAGAAGGCCCTTGGGAGGAGGAGAAGGCAAGAAAGAGAAGAAAAAGAAATGCAACAAGCATGCATGCGCTATGGTTTGTCCCTCTGGAAACTCATGGTGAAATCAGATTGCCACTGGTGGTGTTGGAGGTGAGGCCTCAAGAGGTAATTCAGTGGTCAAAAGGGAAGAATGCTTTGTCAGAAGGGCAGGTCCTTACATGTGTGGCTTCTTCTACATGTGCCCACTTGCCCTTTCACTTCCACCACAAGGGGAAGCAGCACTAGGGCCTTGCTGGCTGCCGGCCCTTGCCCTTGGAATTTCTAGCCTCCGGGAACCATGTGCTGCTCCTCCTGGGGATGCAGGACTGACTGGGAACCACTAGCTCCTCACAGTGCCACTCAGCGGTCTTGGAAGCTGGCTGGAAGGGCCGTGGGGTCTGCGCTCCCAGCCTTCTTCCTCCCCTACATCCTGCATTCCTGCTATGGCTCTCTGCACCCATGAACCAAACTCATCCTGCTCAGGGACCAAAGAATCTCCCTCCTCAAGTGCCTGATCCTGGGGTGTGGGCTGAGAGGCATCCTGTGGGCCCTTAGCTCCATTGGGAGCAGCTCGGCCAGTGAGGGGAAGGAGGAAGGTGAGCTATCTGGAACAGAGAGACAGCAGGCCAAGTCCTGCCGCATGTCATGTCACAATACAGCCAGGCAGGAGCCAGGACATCACCCTAGGAGGTCAAAGTTCAGCCCAAGCTGAGATCTCCCAAGCCTGTGACATGTGAAGAGACAGGCAAGGCACAGAAGGTCACAAACAGCATCCTGTGGCAAGAGGGTGCCTTTTGCATCGGTGAGACTGCACCAGTCTTAGCTGTGACACCTAACATTTGGTGTCAGCAAGGCCTTCAATTCTGGTCTTGATCAGAAATAATAACAGAGTACACATGTCCCTCAAATTATAACAGTGTTGCATTCCAATAAACCTATGGTAAGTTGAAAATCTTTCTTTCTTTCTTTCCTTCCTCTTTCTTTCTTTCTTTCTTTCTCTTTCTCTCTTTCCCTTCCTTTCTTTCTTTCTTTCTCTCTCTCTTTCCCTTCCTTCCTTCCTCTCTCTCTCTCTTTCCCTTCCTTCCTTCCTTTCTCTCTCTCTCTCTCTCTTTCTTTCTTTCTTTCTTTGTACCAGGGATTGAACTTGGGCCCTTGTGCTTGAACACCAGGCAGTGAAACCACTGAGCTAAATCCCCGGCCAGTTGAAAATCTATTTCATGGGCTGGCTGTGGTGATGCACGCCTATAATTTCAGCACTGGGGAGGCTGAGGCAGGAGGATCACTGCAAGTTTGAAGTTAGCTGGGCTACATAATGAGTTCAAGGCCAGGCTGGGCTACAAAGTGAGTTCAAAGCCAGCCTGAACTCTGCAGCAAGACCCTATCTGAAAAAAAAAAAGAAAAGAAAACCAAAAAATGCACTTAATATACCTAACCTGTTGAATATCACAGGTTAGCCTATCCAACTTTACATGTTTTCAACATACTTGCGTTAG